ACCTTTGCCTTACCCTGCACACCCCATGGCCTACTGGTAGTGCTGAAGGACCAGTCACTGCTTGGCCAAAATTCAGCTTCAAGTTACAAACACCAGGTTGTTTATCACAGGGAAAACCTTTTGGTCCAGCCTCCAGGGTGCTTTGCTTTGCATTCTTGCTTTACTTTCTCTGGGTGCAGAGCAAGTGAGTTATTTTTGCAGATATTATGGGGATTTCTTATCATTCCTGTTGCCCAGATCTGTTCCTTTATATCAATGTGTTCAAATCCTTCAGGTACACAGGATGATTAAAAAGCTTTGCACGAGCAAATGTGCCTCATACATAAACTGTCTACCTTGATCTGTAAGATTAAATTCAATCATGAACCAAAAAAATCAATCAAGGTTCTCTCCAGCTGTAATAGTGTCAAGAGAATATATTTAAAGTAGTTATCACACACAAGAAGAAAGAATCACATCACTTAACTCCCTGAACTGGGACTAATGGTTTCTGCCCCTCCCTTGGAAAGGTTTGTGGCCTCTCTGAAGTCCTGCATGGGAGGAATTTGGCTTTTCTTGCTGGCAGGAATACCAGTTGTTGCTGGAAAACCAGGACTTGGGATATAGATTATTCATGGCATGAAAAATAATGCAGAAAGAAAAAGCTTGGTTGATTGTACTTAAATCAGCACACTTCCAAGGGCAGTGCAAAGCCATAATCTGTTACTTTATCATCTGTTCTGCCTTGGATTGAGCATAGTAGACAACAGCATCCCTGGTCTGGGCACTGCATCCTCACCAGCACACTGGGGCAGAAGCCATCAAAGGATTTGTGTTTTCAGCTCTGGTTAGACAGACCAACAGAACCTTTAACAACAGGAAAGTTTGAGTTTAATGCAAGGAGACTAGTAATTTCACTTACTTTTGCTTCTTGTTTTGGGCCAGGCAGAAAAACTTGAACAAATAATCCCTTTTGGTGATATTTTAGTTTTGTCTTTCCACTCAGAAGTTCAAAAAGGACAGAAAAATCAGTCTTTTTAAACCCTGGTTAAAAGGTGGTTTCAGTCAAAGAAACCTTTCATGACCTTTAAATAGCTCTCCAACAATAACATATATTTTAATGTTAGAATGAAGGCAACCACCAGCCATCCTCATCACCAAAATTCACTGAAATTAACTGCCTTTTCATCAGGTTCAGCTGTCTCATTTCATCATTCCTAAATTTGAATTTGGTTTGTAAAAATGTTGCCCAAAAGCTTGATCTGCCCATTTACCATGTGCAGGATTCCTTCCTTAGCATCAGATTAAAGTCGCTCTTGATTAGAATCATAGAATGGTTAAGGTTGGAAGGGACCTTCAAGATCATCAAGTTCTAACTTGGGTGTTGGGTTTCACCCCAGTTCCACTTGCAAAAGCTGGGCTGTGCTTCATGGCTTTGGAGTGGAGAGGGATGAGCAAATAATTTATCTTAAAATTATCTATTGCAAGCAAAGGGGTCATTCTTTTCTCCAGATTAACAGGATTTTAGTATTAGGAAATCTTGACCTGATTTGTTTCCTTTCCTATTGCACATTTGATTTCCCTGGTTGGAGGTTACTCTTCACCCAATCTCCCATTTTGTGCTGGATATCTTCCAGTCATCCCTGCTGAATCCAGTCCCCACTGCTTGCAGCCCCCTCAGGCTCCTTGCTCCCCTCCTCTTCCCTGTTTCACTTCTCCAGTCAGGAGAAAACTGGAAATCTAAAGCTCTGTTCATTCATAGTCACCATTAAAGTTTCATATCACAGATACTGCAACTAAACACACATTTCTGTCACTTTAATGAACTGACTTCTCTAATTTTTGGAAGGAAAACCTGGTGTGGGGGTGTCAGCTTCAGGATGCCCTGAATCAACTGGGCAGTTGCATCATTTGTTTCCTCTTTTTTTTTTTCTTTTTCTTTTTTCTTTTTCCAAATGCAATTTCTAGCCAATAACTGGAGAAATTGCTCTTCATGAATCATGCAAGTGGCCACGATTTCTTCACTGGCTGCTTGGATTAGAGCAATGTGAAACGTGCACAACCTGAGCACTGATTTGTCAGACTATTTTTGCCCCTGAAGTCAATTCTAAAAATAGGAAAACCATTCATCCTGGGGAGAAGAATGACCTATAAAAATGTAAAGCAATTTCTTCATATTTATTAATCCTTTCATTTCACCCATAATGACTACCACATTTAATGAATGCTCTTTCTCCTTCACAGAACTATTATGAGCAATCATGTCTTCTGCTTTTAATGCCCTGATAGTGTAATCTAATACTTTATCCTGAAGTTATTGACTGCTCACACTCCTGAGAAGGGCTAAATAACTTCCAGTTCAAAAGAGGATATATTGGCCCTGGTTGCACAGGACCCTGAGTGAACACAGAATGGTTGGGCTTGAAAAGGACATTTAAAGTTCATCTGGTCCAACCCCCCCTGCAGTGAGCAGGGACATTTCCAGCTAGATCAACAGAGACAATTTCAGCTTGCCCTGAAGGAGTCTCCTGGTGCCTGGCTTCTTGGTGGGTCTTCTTTAAAGAATTATATGAACTATAATCCCAGCAGGGGAGACTCCAGAAACATTATGTGAACCCCAGATGATCTCCAAAGTGTAAACTTTCTGTTCTGGTCACATATGAGCTGGTTATTTGTGACCTGCTGCCCATTCAGACTTGTATTGCATTCCTGTTCAGAAGCACAAAGATGGCTGAAGAAGTGCAGGAAAATTAAAAAGGACTTAATGAAAATGGAATTCAGGCTCTGAAGGCTGATACAAAAGGTGTACAAATCCCTCCTCAGAACTGTACCCAGAATGAGTTACAACAATGAATAGAGAGATCTTTGCAAGGTGTGAGAGACTTCATGAAAGAACTTTCACTGCTGTCAGAAGAAAAGTTATTATGTTTCTGCTAAGCATTCAGCTGGTTTCCAGGGAGCTGGATTGCACCCAGTAAAAAGTGTGAATAACAGTTCTTTTGGGGCAGGTAAGAACTAGAAGAAAGCATCTCCTGAGAACACCAGGACAATCCAAGTACCTTGCCCTGTGCTGATCTTTTGTCTCCCTGTTTCCTCAGCTGGTTCATTTTGTGCCCAGTGAAGCCTTTGCAGAGCTCCAGGCTCCCTCCCTCCCTCTGTGGATGGGACCTGTGAGTTCACTGAGTTATTCCTAAAACCCATGACATCTATCTCCCACTTGCCCCAGATATTCCAGGAATTAAAGCTGGTAGAAGAGGAGCTGTAAAAGCTGTTCCCAGCCTGAGGTCAACAAGAGTCCATGCAACTAATTGGGCTTTGGATAAGGTCCAAAAAGGCATCAGTCCAAAATCTGTCCTATATGAAACACCACTGCAATCAGGAGAATGACACTAATTACACCTGGTAGGAGGCAGTTGCCCATCTCCAGCTCTAGTGTCTCCTCAAGAAGGAAGGCACTGGGGAGCTGGAGAAAACTCTCCTCCTTTGCACCACCTGAAGCACTTTCTTTCTATTATTCCACCCAGTGTTCACGGCCTTTGGAGTTTGCCACTGGCAGATGAAGATGCAATAAATGATCTCAAAAGCTGGTGTTTGTGAATCCCATTTCACTCTGTTTTTTTGCAGCTGTTTGGTTTTCCATTCTGCACATTGGCAAATAAAAATGCAGAACAGACACAGAACTTGTGCTAAGAGCAGCAAATGGGTATGGTCAAAGCCACAAACTTCTTGGCATAGTCACCTTGGAGGAAGGTTGCCAGCAAGAGGCTGCAAGAAACTATGTAGAGACAAACAACTTCTGATTTCTTTTAGTTTCATTTCCCTTCAGGTTTTTCCTAAAAACAAAACAAGAAAAAAAACCAAAAACAAACAGCAATGTGCCCTTGTGGCCAAGAAGGCCAATGGCATCCTGGGGTGCATTAGAAAGGGTGTGGTTAGTAGGTCAAGAGAGGTTCTCCTCCCCCTCTATTCTGCATTGGTGAGGCCACATCTGGAGTATTGTGTCCAGTTCTGCGCCCCTCAGTTCCAGAAGGACAGGGAACTGCTTGAAAGAGTCCAGGG